GTCTCAAATATCGAGCGCCGGAGCGTCTCGAACCCGGGCTCTCACTACCGGGAGTCCAATGCTCTACCAACTGAGCTACGGGACAGCTGCACCCATTATTGTGGGTGCAGCTGCACCCACTGCACCCATGGTTCCTACGCGTATGCCTTTCAAGATAGTTTAGTTTATTTGGCGCGTCTCGACGAGAGGAACACGATGTTGGCATTAATAATGTGACTCTTTTGAGTCAAAAGTTATTGCAGAAAACCCTTTTTTTGTAAAAACATCAATATTTCAGTTTCTGCCCTCTGGAGGCTGAGCCGTTGATCTGAGGTCAAATCTGAGGGCACGCGCGAAAGAGTGTTTAAAGGTAGTGTGCCAGCTTTCCTGGACCGTATGGAGTTAATGGCCCAGATAAGGAGAACCGGATTTTTAGAACTTATCCATACCTTCAAAACTCATGGAAACGTCTTAAATTCTTCAAATTTTGAGTACCCCAGTGCGAAATTCGCCCCGACGGGTTGTCGGTCGTACCCCAACCACATTTCACACCACTATGAACAATAAATGCACACACTGAAATCGCTATTACCGATATGCTCATCCAATCAAGTTTCGATAAACCCGTTCATCATCATCTCCTGCGGTTTCGAACACGCCTGTTAGGTGGTGCGGTAGACCGAGCCCAAAGCCAGGGCCCCGGTAACGTGAGGTAGCCGAGTCGGGGCAGCGTGCGCTGACCCAAGCCGGGGCCGCGCGTCCTCCCGGTGTCATGTGATAGCCCGGGGCTGCCCGCGGGGATGCGGTAGACCGCGCCCAAAGCTGCGGCCCCGGCTTGGGTCAGCGCACGCTGCCCCGACTCGGCTACCTCACGTTACCGGGGCCCTGGCTTTGGGCGCGGCTTCTGCTCATACTTTGTGGTGCGGTGGTGGTGTGTCGGGCCGCGCGCTCTGACTTCGGTCAAGAAAAATGCGTCAGCTGATCATTGTCATTTCTGCCACTTGCGTGTGGTGAAATGGGGTCATAATTTAAGAACGGCTTTTTCATATCAATTATTTTACATAAAATCATATTTCAAACCATAGATAATGTTCGACAGCCAAATGAAAGAAACAATACCAATACAGGCTTACAGTTTAAGGCTCGACATTGTGTTATCTACGATTAGACAGCTGATAACTCATTCCCGTACGTCGTAACTCTATAATGACCTTTGCTTATTGTCACATGTGCGCCGCATTCGCGATTGTTGCCGACGCCTGTTTGCAGGCACTGGCGGTCGCAGCCGCTAGCAAAAGGGGGGGCCAAAGTCACACTCGCGGGACATAACATTTATCCGTCACCGGGAGGGGGGGGGGGGTGATCGGCTAATTTTTTACGTCCACGAGGTGCCGCGCAGTTGGCATTACTTATGCTTCATCCATCTGATTCTTGCGTGAAATTTTTAAGCTCAATTTAAGGCAAAATCACCAGTTCCATTTCCCGTCCCACGGTGCTTCCACCGGTCGGCCCACTGCACCATGACGACGGATCGGTGTAGCATAGGTATACTGGAAGGTCAGGCACGCGGATTCATGACCTTACCACTATAAAACAATTCGGAAAAGTACAGATACCTCTTCCTTTGAACAAGCATGTGAAACCCAGAGAGCATTTTCAGACTATGACATTTACTCATATAGGTAACATACCTAGTTGTGTGGCGGCGGGAGAGAGTAGGTACACCGACCGACCTCTGGAGACCCCCCACAGGTTCCGAGCTTTCAAAATTGGCATCTGAGGGCCGCGCGCGACTCCTGCGGGGCTTCGCAGCGGCTCTATTGGGGCTCACTCAACCTGCCTAGTCTTACTGCTAAAAAGACTGGCCCTGAGCCCTAAGGACTTCATCAGTCTCTGCCAGCCCCAGGACCCACACCGGCTCATGGGGTCCCGACGTCGAAATATGAGGGAATCTGCGCCGGACCATCAGGACGCAAAGTAATCTCGATCAGGACCAACGTAAGGCTGTGCCGGAGACTGCGTGAGCCCTCTGATCTTCAGAAACCCACCCATATATGTTTTCACTTAGAGGCCAGTTTAGGGCCCTCAGAGACCAGTACAGGGCCTGCAAACTACAAAGGCCAGTAGTTTGAGACAATCAGTGACCGAGTTGGGCTCTCAGAGGCTAATGTGGGTTATTACAGGCCAACATGGGCCCTCAGAGGTCAGCGTGGGGCCCTAAAAGACCGGCATGAGCCGTCGTTGGACCCCAGAGGCCAGCAGAGGGCCCTCAAAGGCCAAGATGGGCCCTCCTCAAATGCCAATGCAGGCCCTTAGAGGCCGGCATCGGGTCTTCAGCAGCCAGTGCGGGGCCCTCATTGGCACCTTAAGGTTCGTCTTGGGACACCACAGACAGAAATAAGGCCACCAGAGACCGGTGTGAGACCCTCAGACGCCGGTTGGGACCCCTGAGGCCTGTTAGGGGCCCTCATAGGCCAGATGTGGGGTCTCAGAGGTTGATGTAGGCTCTTAGCGGTCAACGTGGGCACTTGACCGCCACTGAAGTTCCCTCAGAGGTCAGTGTAGGACGCTCAAAGACCGGTGTGGGAGCTATATTAATAGCTGGGCGTGGGTTTTTTTGAGCTTCGTGACGATCGAATAATTGCCAGGGCCCCATACACCTATATGGGGGCCCATTGGTTGTTTGAGGGGGGGGGCAAATGATATGATGGCCCCCTTTATTGACCTTGGGGGGCATGGCCCTGATGCCCCCCCCCCCGCGACCGCCACTGTGTACACATTACACACATGCCTCTGAGATTACATACTAGCTCATGCAAACTCTATGCAGGCCCCGGAGTTCCCACGCTAATCCTTAAGAAACCAAGCCGGCATACGGCGTCACCACCGGGCTTCTGAGGTGCACAGCACCAACCCATGAGGTCTTACTTTAGTGTTTTAGAGCCAATCTCCTTTAGCAGGGCCCACCCACCACTGCCGAAGAGGGTCTCATGCCAGCCATTGCTGGGCCTACGAGAGCCTCAAGTAAACCCACGCTGATATTCCATATAAGATCCGGCCATACTCGTGAACCGGTGCCAGCGACGCTGACCACCAAATTGACAGAATGCGAAACTGAGCCCTCATGAGTGAAATTTACGTCCTTTGATGGCGCAAGAAAGAAAATGAAACATACGAAAAGCTTTTCTAGGACTTTTGTTCGATCTGAAAGGTGGGGCCAAAAGATAGTATGGCCCCACCTTTCAGCACCAAAGGGGGGCCATGGCCCCCGTGGCCCCCCCCCCCTGGGACCGCCAGTGTTTGCAGGTCAGCCCACTACAGTTGTTATACATATCGAAAAACCGATAAACTTTTAGGCGAAAAAGGCACTATTCCAGGCCCATTTTTTTATTTTTTTTTTGCGATATTTGGTAAAAACAGAAGCTTCTTATCCTAGGAAAAATAAAATGGGAAATCTTTCAAAGGTGGCACACTACCTTTAAAGAACTATTGAATGCGCTTTTCCGCGGCGCTGTTACTCTATTTGTTCCGGGGTTTTGGGCCGGGTTTCCGAAATGTGTTGAATAGGCAAAATTTGACCTTTGATGACCTCTGGCGACCTGACCTTTGACGTGACTCAAAAATGACTGAGGTGTTTTCTTCATTATTTTTTTTACCTTCTTTCGAATGTCGCTTATCACGTCGCTACGTGGCCCAGGAGCCGAGGTAGACGGGGGGGGGGGGGCGTGAAATCCCCTCCCCCCACCAGCACGACACAGAAAACTCAGACCACCATTACGGCATAGGTTAACCCGCGCATGACTGGGGTATTTTTCATAACGCGAGTGACTGAGAGGGGGGCCTCTCTAGAGCCCCCTCCTATCTCAAAAACTTCTGGGCCGATCGTCAAAATTCAAACGGCGTCTGATAGCCCTGGAAAAACTGTCGAACGAAACCTATTTTCATTGACCTCGAGGTCACCGATGACGTCACAGGTCAGGTCTAAATAAAAATTATTGGCATTTTTGCTTGCTTACAATTTAGGCTCTGGCCGCCGGCTGACAAGTCCGATCAGGCTCATTCTAGGTCACGAAAATTGTATATCATGTATCGGTCACCTGACGGATGTTTCATGGTCCACTTTACACGTAGATTTCGAGAATGATGTCGTCTGTGTCATTTGAGGTCATTTTCAGCTGAATATACCGGAGGTCAGGTCAATTTCAGGTCAGAAAAGTTCAAATTTTGAAATGATATTTTTCAACAAAAAAGAAGTGCCTATCAGATGCAGTTTGAGCTCAGGAACACGATGGTGCCATTTATATTGCTGTACGATGCCAAAAACGTAGGTACTGAAAAACGGTTTTGAAAAATATATAATTGTTAAATTTTGATAATTATGCACATAACATGGCTATTTTTGAAGATATTGGACTAAAACTTGCTAGGGTAGTTCATCAATGTGTGTTCTATCACATATATTCCGGTATTTGCGAAAAATCAAAAACTTTTTGAAAAAAATCAAATATATATTTGTAATTGTAAAACACATTTTTCAAAGGTTTCGAAAATTCGAGATACCAGTTTGATAGCTACGTGTATTTGTAGTCCACTGATGCAAAGAAATTGGATCTAGCTTTAAAACTGAGCTCTTGAGAGCGTTTGCCGTAATTCAATATTTTGCATCAATATCGGCCGACATTACGTCACTCTGACGTCATTTCTGGCCAAACTATGGTAGCTAGAAAACTGAAATTTTAACACAAGGTGTCAAATTGATGCTGCTGAGGGTATTGCAAGTTTCGTGCTGATCCGTGAAACGGTTTAAAAGATATTGCCGAAAAACGGGAGGGAGGCTCTGTAGAGCCCCCCCCCCCCCCAGTCGGGTTATGCGCGGGTTAAAGTGCTGTTTTAATGTTTTTCAGTATAACATTCGACATCAGGCTTGTATTGAGTTTTATGGGCATTGTGTTTCTCTTTGTCATAACACGTTACGTAATCGACTGTTTGTTCGGGTGTCTGAGGTATATGCTGTGCGGCAGTCGGACGGCGGCGCTCGGAGGCGGCGGTGCGGCTGTGCTGTGCCGCGCGGGGAGCCATGAACGGCCCGGCCACGTTCGAGGGCCACCCGGACCGGTACGGCGGCCTGCTGGTCGACCTCCGCCACGAGACGGTGCTGCAGGCCGCCAGCTTCACCCAGCTGCTCGCAGGTGCGTGTGCACCAGCGGACGCCGCTAAAAGGAATGTTAACAGATCCGTGGTCTGCTGCGAGTAGGGTGCTGAACACCTTTGAGAGTACTTACACATATCGGAACGTGAATTGACCCGTGCTTTTCCTGTCATTAGCCATCGCACTTCTAACAAAGGTCTGTGCACCGTATGTGGGAGGGGACGGCGGCTAAGGAACTGATAAGCTAACTTTACTGAGGTGATAATTTTGTTTCAGCGTCTTTGGAAAAATGGACATCTGAAGGCATTCGCGGAGTTTGGTTCCGTGTTGACATCGAACACTCTGAATTCGTCCCTGTTCTTGTGAAGGTAATATTTTATCTGAATTCGTCCCTGTTCTTGTGAAGGTAATATTTTATCTGAATTCGTCCCTGTTCTTGTGAAGGTAATATTTTATCTGAATTCGTCCCTGTTCTTGTGAAGGTAATATTTTATCTGAATTCGTCCCTGTTCTTGTGAAGGTAATATTTTATCTGAATTCGTCCCTGTTCTTGTGAAGGTAATATTTTATCTGAATTCGTCCCTGTTCTTGTGAAGGTATTATTTTATCTGAATTCGTTCCTGTTCTTGTGAAGGTAATATTTTATCTGAATTCGTTCCTGTTCTTGTGAAGGTAATATTTTATCTGAATTCGTCCCTGTTCTTGTGAAGGTAATATTTTATCTGAATTCGTCCCTGTTCTTGTGAAGGTAATATTTTATCTGAATTCGTCCCTGTTCTTGTGAAGGTAATATTTTATCTGAATTCGTCCCTGTTCTTGTGAAGGTAATATTTTATCTGAATTCGTCCCTGTTCTTGTGAAGGTACTATTTTATCTGAATTCGTCCCTGTTCTTGTGAAGGTACTATTTTATCTGAATTCGTCCCTGTTCTTGTGAAGGTACTATTTTATCTGAATTCGTCCCTGTTCTTGTGAAGGTAATGTTTTATCTGAATTCGTCCCTGTTCTTGTGAAGGTAATATTTTATCTGAATTCGTCCCTGTTCTTGTGAAGGTAATATTTTATCTGAATTCGTTCCTGTTCTTGTGAAGGTAGTATTTTCTTAAATCGTTGTGTTAATTATTTCGATGCATTTCTTTTCATTGCATCTGTTGCGATTGAAGCTGATAGTTATGAATGTTAACCCGCGCCCTGATGGGGGGGGGGGGGCATTTTGGTCCCCCTGTGGTTTTTCTTAAATAGCGAGAAAACGGCGGCGCCAAATTTTGGGTACCTTACCGGGCATCAATTTGACACCTTCACACAAAATTTCAAGTCACAGGTCACCTCAGGTCAGGAGTTATTGAGGTCAAACTGAGGTCATGTTCGAGCAAAAATGAGCAAAAAAACATGACATCTTGAAACGCTCACCAATTCTACAGTTAACAAGCAATTTTAAAGTTCTTTATGTGGTTGTGTAGAGAAAAGACGGCGCTACAAAACTGCTATCTCGGATTTTCGAAATTTTGGGATTTTGACCCCCAAAAATTAAAAAAAATTGATTTTTTTAGAAAAACTCAAAAATTTCCAATTTTTTTCGAATTTCCGAAACGGAATATATGTGATAGTCCCTACGCTCTTCGATATACATACCAAATTTTAGATCGATACCTCTTTTTTTGGCCAAGTTATAGCAAAAAAACTGTTAAAAATTGATGACGTCAAATTTTTGAACTCAATTTTTAGCAATTCTAGACCTCGTAGCGCAAAACGGAGACCACCATTGAACTCCCCGTGACGAGCTGCATCGAATCGATACCCATTTTATGCAAAAATATCAACTTTGAAATTTGACCTAATTTGACCTGACCTTGACCTGACCTTGACCCGACCTTGACCAAAACGTGACCTTAGCTGGCCCTAAAGTCTGTCTGACCCACATACTCGCATTTGTCATGTAAAATGGACCATAAAACATGTATCACACGACACTTTCATATTGTGACCCCCCCCAGTGACCTGACCTCTGTGACCTGACCTAGTATCAGTGACCTCAAATAGCAAAATATGTGTTTGAAGAACATTTCTCCACCGATGATTTTCAATGAAATGCATTTTACTCGATTTTACAACGCATTTCTTGAAATGCCTGTAAACGGTGAAAATTCGACTTTTGACCTGACCTGTGACGTCATCGGTTTGACCGAGGTCAATGAAATTGGGTCACAAGGTAGTTCCCCGTTGGGGCTATCCAACACCGTTTACCGCTTGTCGCTATGTTGCGTGGTTCTCGAGATCTGAGGGGGGGGGGGCCAAAATGGCCCCCCCCCCATCAGACCGCGTTGCTCGGCAGACCCCATCTGGGCGCGGGTTAACCCTCGCCGGCACAGGCCATTTTGCGTCCTTCGACGGCACAAGAGGGGTTGGTACGACCCCCCCCCTCGCGTTTGGCCCCTGATCGAGCTAGAGCTTCGCGGAAAAAACGAGCGTGTTGCCCGTCACGAGAGGAAGCCGATGATACCCAATTTTAAGGTCCTAGGTCATCGGGTGACCTTCCAGGTCAGGTCAATGACCCGAAGACCGGGAAAATCGGGACCTGTTAGAAAGTCGTAAAGTGTGGCTGCTATGTGGTTTTCCGGGGTGCTGATCACGAATATCGTGTTAGTTTTCATCAGAGATGATGTTTTTAGGCATTTAGACCAGGTCGGGTCAGGTCAGGTCAGGTCAACCGGTAGGGGTTGTGTCGGACGGGTATTCGTAATACGTGTCAACCGCCTCTGACAGCTTCGTAACATGTTACGAAGGCACCAAAACTACTTCGTAAATGTTCAAATGGCTGCTAAATTCGAATTCAGCTCCAAGAACTAGCCTAGAAACATGTAAAACTCGAAAAAGTGAACCGAGGTCACCCGAGGTCACCAAAGGTCAATGACCTGACCTGACCTTCAGGTGACCTTGACACCCACCCTAATGCATGGGAGCAACATCAAATCACATGTTTGAACGTTTGAAACCACGAAAAGCTTGCAAACGCGCGGCTAATGCGAGCCGACATACGCCGAATCGCGATTTCGGCCAAACATGATCACGGAAAAGAGGTCACAGGTCAAAGGTCATTGGGGTCAGGGTCATGAAATTTTCAGGGAACGTGTAAAATTGATCAATGCGAGGGTACTGAAAGTTTCGTCGCGATCGGCCGCTTTTTACGCGAGTTATTCGCGAAAAACCTTAGGGGGGGGGGGGTTGCATGTGCCGGCGAGGGTTAACCTTCCAGGCGGGGGGGGGGGGGGGCATTTTTTGCCCCTCTCCTTAGTTTTTTCTATATATCTCCAGAACCGCTGCAGAAACTTTCAGTACCCTCCCATGAATAGCTTTTGCACATTTTGAGCAATTTTTTTTTCCAAAGGCTATGATAGGTTGGCCGCTAATGACGTTGGAGTGACGTCATTTCTGCCATTTTCGACAAAAAAGGTTCCGCGGGAAGAGTTGTTAGGCCTACAGCTTTAGAGATACAGAAAAATGTTTCTGACAAAAAAGGTGTAGAATTAGCAGGGCTACAAAACTGTGTTCTCGGATTTTTGAAATTTTTGGATTTTGACCCCAAAAAAATTAAAAATAGATTTTCTTAATGTAACAGTGTCCCAAAATTGAGTTTTGTCTGGGGTGTCAGAGGGGAAAATTACCCACCAAAAAGAGGGGAGAGAGTGGAAAACTGCTGATTCGATTAGATCCAAAAAGAGGGAGAAACGCCATAAAACATGGATTTTATTTTAGGATGTAGAATGTTTGCTGCTAAACCGGGCATTCACACAACCGCTCTTTCTAGAGGTAAAAAAAATCTAGGTTTTCTTGGTTGGGAGTGGAAAATTGTTCTTAAAAATTGGTGGTGAGAGTGGAAAATGGATTTCCTTTGGATGTCATTTCCCACCCAAATCGACAAATTTTGAGACATTGTAATGTAAATGCCGAAAAATCCAAAAAGGTTTTTGAATTTCGAATAACCGGAATATATGTGATAGTCCCTACCGCCTTCTATCCACATACCAAACTTGTGATCGATAGCTCTTTTTTTTGCCAAGTTATAGCGAAAAAACTGTTCAAAATTGATTACGTCAAATTTTCAAACTCAATTTTTTAGCAATTCTTGACCTCGTAGCGCAAAACAAAGACAACCATTAGATTCCCCGTGACGAGCTGCATCGAATCAATACTCGTTTTATGCAAAACTATCAATTTCGAAATTTGACCTTTTTGGACCTGACTTTGACCTGACCTCCACCAGAAAGTGACCTAAACCGTACCTGATGGTCTTATAACCAACACCATTGAGTTGAAAATGAAAAATTGGCCATAAAACATGCATCGCACAACCTTAGTAAAGTTGGGTTCATGTACCTACTGACCCTACGTGGTCTGACCTGTGGGTATTACCAGTGACCTCTAACAGCAACATATGTACTAGGTAACTGACGCCCTATCGCTTATTTTCGACAAAATGCGTTTTACCGGGTGTTATAGCGCATTCCTTAGAAGACCCGTGAACGGTGAAACATGTTATCTTTGACCTGACCTGTGACGTCATCGGTGACCCCAAGGTCAATGAAATTTGGTTTCCTTCGACAAATATGACAGGGCTATCGAACGCCGTTTGAATTTGAAGGATCCGTCCAGTAGTTTCGGAGATACGGGGAGCGGGGCAAAAAATGCCCCCCCCCCCCGCGCGGAAGGTGCCTGCCGGGTTAAGTAGCTGAAACTCTGCTTGAGATTCATTAGGACTATTATAAATGTAAATATAACCAGTAACATACTATGAATTCGAAATAGGAGCCAAAAAAGTTATATTTAAAATTATCAAATATTTCGCTCCTGGAGCTTCACTAGCGATAATTATACAAAATTAAAACTTTTTACAGGGATGCGGAGCCGTGGATATTTCAGACGGCTCCGGCTCCGGAGAAAAAATCGGCTCCGGCTTGTAGTGTCAAACCGAACTAGGCTAGTTCAATTAACTATTTTTTCTCTTCAAAAACAGCCGGTGTCGCCTCCTTCTTTGACGGCTCCGGCTCCGGCTCCGGGCTAAATTGCACCGCTCCTGCTCCGGCTCCGGTCAAAATGTGCTGGCTCCGGCGGCTCTGGCTCCGCACCCCTGCTTTTTATGTTTATCGCTGATGAAGCTCCAGGAGCGAAACATAGGATGCTTTTAAATATAACTTTTAGCTCCTATTTCGGATTTATATAATCAAGTTATTTGCTATTTTTACGTGTATGTCATTCGTTTTTTGGCATGCTAATGAGAAGCCTTTATGTGTCCCAGGAGAATGACTTTAATTTTCGAACAATGCTGACGAGTGACGACTGTGCTGCTCCCCGGACCCATCTGTGACCGCGGCCTGTGTGCGCCCAGCACGAGTTTGTGTACCACCACGCGCTGCGCGAGTTCGTGATGCTGGTGCGGTGGCTGCCGCGCCACGAGTCCGACCAGATCCCGCCGTACGCCCACTCGCTGGTGGGCGTGGGCGGCCTGGTGGTGGCCGAGGACGGTCAGCAGCTGCTCGTCGTCCGCGAGAAGTACTACAAACAGCCGCACTGGAAGCTGCCCGGCGGCTTCGTGGAGCCCGGTAAGTGACGCCCCGGAGCCATACCTTACTCTGATCAGGGTGACGCTCCGGACCCACACCGTCTGTACAGGGTGACGCCCCGGACCCACACCGTCTGCACAGGGTGACGCCCCGGACCCACACCGTCTGCACAGGGTGACGCCCCGGACCCACACCGTCTGCACAGGGTGACGCCCCGGACCCACACCGTCTGCACAGGGTGACGCCCCGGACCCACACCGTCTGCACAGGGTGACGCCCCGGACCCACACCGTCTGCACAGGGTGACGCCCCGGACCCACACCGTCTGTACAGGGTGACGCCCCGGACCCACACCGTCTGCTCAGGGTGACGCCCCGGACCCACACCGTCTGCACAGGGTGACGCCCCGGACCCACACCGTCTGCACAGGGTGACGCCCCGGACCCACACCGTCTGTACAGGGTGACGCCCCGGACCCACACCGTCTGCTCAGGGTGACGCCCCGGACCCACACCGTCTGCACAGGGTGACGCCCCGGACCCACACCGTCTGCACAGGGTGACGCCCCGGACCCACACCGTCTGCACAGGGTGACGCCCCGGACCCACACCGTCTGCACAGGGTGACGCCCCGGACCCACACCGTCTGCTCAGGGGCGGATAACCGTCCCCCATCGGTGCGCGGGTTAAGCATTAGTTCAGTAATCAGTTGTATTGACCGAATTGATGAAAAACGTATTGCTGGTAATCGACCGATCTGCTAAAGTGACCACTGACCATCCCACCTTAACATTAGCTTTGAGTTGTGATAGCCAAAGTGGGGCCCCTGGCTGGCACTTACCGGTTTGGGCACACACAACATTCTAATTCAATCTAATTCATAATGCTTTAATTTGGAGGTGTTTAATTTCGAAGTCTGCAGTTTTCGGATTCTAAGGGGCAAATGCATTTGAATATCCCGATGTTTTAATCTTATTACGGAGCGAGCGAAGCGAGCGGAGTCTTTCGTAGATTAACGGAACTTTCTGAGTATGAGCGGCCGGCCGGCCGTGCGGACGCTTTTGCGAGGCTTATACGAGTATCTCAGCAACCACTTGACCGATTTACATGCAGTATTTTTTGTAGGGTAGCTTCATTCCTTCTAAAGGTGGCAAAAGATGAAAATTTTGGGAACCAGACTCGAACCAGACCCGGCTGGACATTTCTGGAACCAGTCGGACCCGGTCTTAGTTGGAATCGGAACCAGTTGGACCCGTTCCCCAAAAATCAATTAATACCAACTAGTTGTAGGTATCATTAGCTGCATCATGTTAAACAGCCTATTTCCCACTGGGAATACTCATGAGATACTGTGTGCAAAGAAACATTCACTTCATATTTTGCGGTAATGTGTAGTGTGCAAGATGTATAGTTAATGGAAGGACCCGGTTGGACCCGTCAGAAAAGTTCTAGGAACCGGTCTGGACCCATATGGGTCCAGACTGGTTCTTTGGACCGGGTCCTCGGGTCCACATTTTGCCACCTCTGATTTCTTCTACCAAGTATCGGACTTTTACCGTTGCATGTGGGTGACCGCTTATGCACGTCCCACGTGCAAAACGAAGGAGTGCCATTTTTGTAATAATTGCAATGTCTCCTGGGCCGATTGCACTGAAAGTTGGCATCTAACTAGGTAGGCACCCACTAGGCAATGCATATCCAAATTTCGTCTTTTTAGCTCCAGTGGAAGCTGAGATCTTAGGGGGGGGGCGACATCCGCCCCCCTTCCACTAGGCGTAGTACTCGCAACCCTTCCACTGCGCGTGTTAACCCGCGCCCCATAGGGCTATCGGCGGACCCTACCACCCGTAGGGGGGGGGGGGCGTTACGGCCCCTCCTAAGATCTCGGAAATTTACCGGCCGATTTTCAAAGTTCAAACGGCGTTCGATAGCCCCACCGGGAAACAACCTTGTGACCAAATTTCATTGACTTAGGTCAAACCGATGACGTCACAGGTCAGGTCAAAAGGTCGGATTTTCACCGTTCACAGGCATTTTAAGAAATGTGTTGTGAAATCGAGTAAATTGGTAAGGTATTGAAAACCATCGATGGTACATTGTTCGTCAAACACATACTTTGCTATCTGAGGTCACTGATATCAGGTCAGGTCACTGGGGGGTCACAATATGAAAGTGTCGTGTGATACATGTTTTATGGTCCATTTTACATGACAAATGCAATTATGTGGGTAAGGCAGCCTTTAGGGCCAGCTTAGGTCACGTTTTGGTGAAGGTCAAGGTCAGGTCAAATTGTGTCAAATTTCAAAGTTGATATTTTTGCATAAAATGGGTATCGATTCGATGCAGCTCGTCACGGGGAGTCTAATGGTGGTCTTTGTTTTGCCCTACGTGGTCTAGAATTGCCAAAAATTGAGTTTGAAAATTTGACGTCATCATTTTCAAACGTTTTTTTTCGCTATAACTTGACCAAAAAACGAGATATCGATCTTGAATTTGGTATGTAGATAGAAAACGGTGGGTACTATCACATATATTCCGGTTTTTTCGAAACTAAAAAAAACGATTTTTTTGCTAATATATCCAAAAATGCTTTTTTGATTTTTTTTTTGGGTCAAAACAAAATTTCAAAAATCCGAGACAGCAGTTTTGTAGCCCTGTCAATTCTACACCTTTTATGTCCTAATCATTTTGTCTGTATCTTCAAAGGTGTAGGCCTGACAGCTCTTCTCGCGAAGGTCTTTTTCGGTCGAAAATGGCAGAACATGAAGTCATTCTGACGTCATTTTTGGCCAACCTATCATAGCCTCTGGAAAATTTTTTGGTCACAATGTGTAAAATTGATGCCCGGAGGGGCCTGAAAGTTTGGTGGCGACATCTCCAGCCGTTTAGGAGATATCGACGGAAAAGGACGGGGGGGGGGGGGCGTTTCGCCCCCCCCCCCCCTACAGGGTGCGGGTTAATTCTACACCTATTTTGTTTTGATCATTTTTTTTTGCATCTTCAAAGCTGTGGGCCTAATAGCTCTTCTCGCGAAGGTCTTTTTTCGGTCGAAAATGGCAGAACATGTCATTCTGACGTCATTGTGGCCAACCTATCATAGCCTCTGGAAAAAATTTTGGTCACAATATGTAAAATTGATGCCCGGAGGGGTACAGAAAGTTTGGGGGCGATGTCTCCAGCCGTTTAGGAGATCTTGACGGAAAAGGACAGGGGGGTGTTTCGTCCCCCCCCCCCTACGGGGCGCGGGTTAAGTGTTGCCCGGTCATAGTTTTTTTTTAATGGGCTGGTTCTAATCAGTTTATTTGGAATAGGCACTCACTGCCTATTAGCACCCTACATATTTAATTGTTAAACAATACTGTTCCATTCATCATAGTGAAATATAGACGGTTGATGAAGCCTTTTTTGCTTAGGGGTCTTCCGAAAGTTAATCGTGAATAGGGGAATGTGTGCTTCCTTCAAACTGACGGTGTGCCGGACGGCCCGGGCGGGGGCCACTTCACCTGGTGCTGGCCGCGGCCAGGTTTTGCACAGCGGGCGGCGCACTGGTCTGGTGTGCGGTGTCTGGGCCGGGCTGCCGTCTGCCGGCGTCACTGGACTGGCGCGTCTGTCGGGCAGGCGAGGACCTGGCGGCCGCGGCGGCCCGCGAGGTGCTGGAGGAGACGGGCGTGCAGGCGCGCTTCAGCTCGCTGCTGGCGTTCCGGCACATGCACGGCGCGGCGCACGGCTGCTCCGACCTCTACTTCATCTGCGTGATGCAGCCGCTCTCCACCGAGATCCGCATGTGCCCGCGCGAGCTGGCCGACTGCCGCTGGATGCCGGTACGTCTGTGGGCCCGGGCCGACTCCGCGCCACGGCCGCCCGTCTATGTCGAGCCTAAGTTAGGTATCCTAAGTGGCAACATGGGGTCATGTAGCTCAGGCTTGTCATATCGTATCATGTTTCTTTTGCACTCTCATTTGGGCCATCTTTTTATGGCCCAAATAAAGCATAGTTGATTACCGTTTTTATAATGCTTTACAAAATGGTGAGTCAGACATGTGCATGGATCCGAGAAAATGGAGCTGGGATATCCCTCGGATCCTTCTCGAATCCCATGGGATCATAGATCCAGTTCTCTGATTTATGGAGAGATCCGTATGAACCACAGATCCGAGTCCCTTTTTTGCTTGAGATCCAGTGAGAGCATAGATCCTCACTTATTTTTTGTCAATACAGAAATAAATAAATTGTTGCAACTCTCAAACATTCTGTTTTAGTGATTTTATGTGATTGCACATCATAGACCATAGTTTGGTGGTACTTATTGACATAGAAACCCTTTAAAACATGGCTTCAAATGTTCTGCATGGTGGGATCCACCCAGATCATAGATCCATGTTTTTCGTTTGTCGTCAGATCGTATTAGATCATAGATCCAAGATTGCAGTTTGCTTCAGCTCCACTGAGATCATATACATCTCCTGGGTGATCTCCAGGGTGATCCAAAAAAAAAAAAAAAAATAGAACCCCTAACTTAAAATGTCTGTAAGTCCGAAAGTGTTATTTTATTGACAAATTGCAAACATCATTAGAAAGAGCGTTCAATTTTCTATAAAACCAAGTTAATTGAACTTCACTATCACTATAAATATTACCCTAGTTATATGCCTATATAATTTGTGTCACGAAACTCAGTGAAACGGTTTTCCACATTATCCGCAAATCACTGATTTGCGGTTTGCTGTTCTGACCATGTCGCATGTCGGAGGTTCATGAATAAAAATAGCTCATTCACGTGCTATTGTAATGAATTTAAATTACAACAGGAGCAAAAAAAATGTCATTCGGTGCTCCATGCCACACGGCCCACTCAGTGGTCAACTTTCAGGAACAGGCCTGCCCGGCCTTCATCGAGCCAGACGCCTGGCCACCGAAGAGTCCTGTCCTCAACCCTTTTAACTGATTCGTGTGGAGCGAACTGGAGCGAGTGGTGTACAGAGGTCAAGAGGATCAGCACCATCGAGGAGCTGAAGGAAAGGCTGAGGGCCTGCTGGGACCAGTTGTCCCAGAGACTGCTGCCCCGCGCAGTTGGAGCCGTCCGCAAGCGACTGCAGGCCTGCGTGACGGCCCACGGAGCTCGGTTTGAGCACATGCTGAGATGAAAAGCGGAAGCTAGGATGCGTGTATCTGTTTTATTGTGTGCTTCTGCGTAAACTTATATGTAATAAAATTAAAGTGGATGTGGTATTATTCGTAAAAAAAAAACAACAGATGGAGTGCTAACGGATTTCAGTGCATTGTTAACAATTGGCGATTTCGTTTCACTCAGTTTTCTGTCGCTCATTCCGAAATCTAACAGTGTGTCAATACTTTACATCATACATGCAACAACTTGACATGATTTTATAGAGGATTTAATGCTCTTTCTAATGGTGTTTGCAATTTGTCAATAAACTGAATACTTTTGGAGTTATAGACATTTTAAGTTAGGGGTTCCAAATTTTTTGGATCACCCTGTAGATCCATCCCTCGGATCCATGCACATGTCTGGTGAGAGTGATATGACATGGCTTACCCGAAGCTGTTGATATTTTCAGCTAGAGATAAGTTCAGACCGCAGAATAAAAGGAGCGTTAGGTACCTACCTTGATTGAAATGGACAGAAAAAGGAAATCAAAGAAATACTGCGCTGTTACCTTATTCTTCTATCAAAACATCAATACTGCATTGCCAGCTCGGAATTTAAGCAGTTCCCGATGTTGTGAGACTGAGTAGTGAGTGCCCAAACCGGTAATTGCAAGGCAGGGACCCCACTTTGGCTATCTCAACTTAAAACTAATGTTAAAGTGGGATGGTCACTATAAACCTCACACTTATACGGAGGTTGGATACACTTATTCTCCCTCGATCTTTTTCTTTTTTGCGAATAAATCGCGTAAAAAGCTGCCGATTGCGACAAAACTTACAGTTCTTTTTTATCAATTTTGCACCTACCTCGAAAATTTGATGACTGACCTTATGGTCTTTGACCTATAGGTACCCTGTTACATTTGCCCCCTGCAAAAATGTTACAATTGTCCCCGTCGCGCCGTGACATTTTTTAGACTAAACTGGCGCGAAGAAAAGATGCTGCATGGACAGCATCTAATGCTTTCAATTTATGGACAACAAGCCTACCAACCCTTAACCCGCGCCCCACTGGGGTCTGCGTATAACACGCCCTACTGGGGGGGGGGGGGCTATTCATAGCCCCCCCTCCTAACTCCGAAACTACTGGGTCGATCGTCAAAATTCAAACGGCGTCTGATAGCCCCGGAAAAACTGTCGAGCGAAACCTAATTTCATTGACCTCGAGGTCACCGATGACGTCACAGGTCAGGTCAAATTAAAAATTATTAGCATTTTGGCTTGTTCACGTTTTGGGCTCTGGCCGCCGTCTTACAAGTCAGATCAGGCTCATTTTTGGTCCACACACTCGTGAACAGATGCTCTAGATACCCTGAGGGTACCAAACTTGTACTTTGATTTTCAGGTCAAGGTCAGGTCATCACAGGTCACGAAAATATTATATCATGCTTCGGCCACGTGACACATGTTTTATGGTCCATTTAGGCCAAAGAATTCGAATTTGATGTCGTCTGTGTCATTCGAGGTCATTTTGAGTCGAATTTTGCTTAGGTCAGGTCACTTTCAGGTCAAAAAAGGTCAAATTTTGAAGTTAAAATTTTTCAACAGAAAAGGTGTCTATTGGATGCAGTTTGAGCTCAGGAACACGATGGTGCTATTTATATTGGCGTACGATGTCAAATACATGGTAAAAAATGATTTGAAAAATTAATAATTGTGAATTTTTTTGCAATAATGCGTATAACTTGGCCATTTTTGAAGATATTTAGCTAAAACTTGCTAGAGTTAGTCATAATAACGCATTCTATCACATATATTCCGGTTTTTTTCGAAAAATCAAAAACTTTTTGAAAAAAAATGTAAAAATGTAAATTTTGAATTTTATTGTATGAAATTTTCGAAATTTTCAAAATTTCGAAAATCCGAGATAGCAGTTTGATAGCGCAGTCTATTCTGAGTCCTCTCATGCAAAGAAATTGGATCTAGCTCAAAAACTGAGCCCTTGGGAGCGATTGCCGTGGTTCAATGTTTTGCGTCGAAATCGGCCGAACATGACGTCACTCTGACGTCATTTCCGGCCGACCTATGGTAGCTACGAAGTTCAAATTTTGACACAAGGTGTCAAATTGATGCAGCCGAAGGTACTGAAAGTTTGGCGTCGATACGTCAAGCGGTTTGGAAGTTATTGCAGAAAAATGGGAGGGGGGGCTATAAATAGCCCCCCCCCCAGTGGGGCGCGGGTTAAGAAATATACAAACTCAATATCTTTTCAATCGCAGAAATCAGGTAATCAAATTCAAAGGCATAAGAATTTGCGAAATGCTCTAAAAATCACATTAAGGCCGCCCCACACTGGACCTCGCATGCGGATTGCGAGTTTGCGGGTTTTGAGTTTTCATGCATAATACTAATTCATAGTGATTAGACCGAATTCCCTTATGGTAATTTCATAACCGCAGTGAAGCCGGTACACCTTCAGAAAATTACATGTCGTTGCAATACCAGCGCAACGAACCAAAATTCGACTCCAACGAAAAACCCGCAAACCTCGCAGAACTCGCAGACCTCGCAGCGAGGAAAATCGAAAGTCTACTCAAAATCAACTTTTGGAATGCGATGCAAGGTGACTCGCAAGCCAAAAACATGCAGACTCGCTTGTTAGATGGTAGTGTAGGTCACTCAGCTTAGATTGTATTATTTGATTTTGAAGACCCCCCCCCAAAAAAAAAAAACTCGTAATCCGCATGCGACGTCCAGTGTAGGGCGGCCTTTACTGTGCACAGCCATCGACATACGCGGCACTTTCGCTTCAAACTCCGTTAGGAAAGGCTTTGTAGAATTGCGCATTTCCGGTCTTGCCATCAGCTCAATTTATTGGTAAGTTTATGAATTCCAAACACTTACAATTGCCCCGTGTTACATTTGACCCCGCTCTCCCCTAATGAGTGTAGTAAATGCAAAATGCATTCCTTACTGATGGGACGTCGATGATTCGCATTAAGGTGCTCATTTGATTTCTTTTTACCGCCATTATGTGTCACCAGTATAACGCCTTTTGGGGCGACTAACGGAGCGAGCGAGAGGGTGGGCCTTGCACGTGCGAAATTGCGAGGGGGTACCTCCAACTGACTTGTGCACGGCACCCTACTAACCGGTCTCTAGCGATGTGCTAGATTTGGGCACAATCGGCCCAGCCATTCTCGAGATCTGGGAGCTGCATCTGCACGTGCGCACGTGCAAAATGGGTCCCAACTGACTTGTGCACGGCACCCTACTAACCGGTCCCTAACTGTGTACCAAATTTGAGCGCAATCGGTCGAGCCGTTCTCTAGATCTGGAAACGACCCCTGCACGTGCGCACGTGCAGCAGCACCCCAACTCTGGCACATGGATATGCAGTGCCTAGTGGGTACCTACCTTCATGCCAACTTTCAGCGCAATCGGCCAAGTAGTTACCGAGAAATTGCAACAATTACAAAACTGACACCTCTTCGTTTTGCACGTGGCACGTGCATAAGGGGTCACCCACATGCATCAGGAATAGTCCAATACTTGGTAGAAGGAATGAAGCTACCCTACAAAAATTACCGCATGTAAATCGGTCAAGTGGTTGCTGAGATATAAGCCTCGCAAAAGCGTCCGCACGGCCGGCCGGCCGCTCATACTCAGAAATTTCCGTTAATCTAAGGAAAGACTCCGCTCGCTTCGCTCGCTCCGTAACTATGGTGGAAGATACATATTTCACATTTAATCGCATCCCCATACAAAGCAAACAAAAACGAAAGGGTTTGTGCCCAGCTCACAAACCCTTTCGTGGAACAGCATGTATCTATGCCCGCGCCCTCAGCACCCTGTCCAATGTCACTCCGGTTCCTTAAAACATAGTGCTTGCGGCGCAGCTCATATGGACCAGAAAAAAAAAACGTTTCCAACTCTAAATGGATATTGCTTAAAAAGTGATAAAGATACCTATATCATTGAAACTTCGAACATTGAATGCGACATATAGTTATTTTTAGTACCTAAGTAGTTTGATTTTATGTTATTCGGTGAATTACTTTTAAAACCATTTGTTTTTCAAACATGCCACGTAACAATTGCTTTTTGCGCGCATGTTTGAAAAAAAAAATAAGGGAAAGGGCCATTTTCATCCCGGCGCCACTGTCTGGAGCCATGCCTTCCAATAGCCGATACTCTCATCGATGGTTCAGGGTGACACGCCCTCAGGCAACCACAATGTCTCTGCAAGCGGCGACAATGTCGGAAGGAGTCTCTAGTGGTCTAACCATCTTCAGGTGTCTCAGTTGCTCTCCTGGGTGGCATTCCTAGGAAAAGGTAGCTTTTCAAGCAGCTTTTTGTCGTTCGCCGGTAATGCTGCTTTTCAACAGCATAGTAACTGTGGTCTTCTGGCACAGGAAACAGTCTGCTCTAGTTTTTTCCTTATCCGGTCGATTGACTGTTTGATCTACTGGTAGTGAGCAAGCCATGCACTATGCCACTCTTTCTGTCGAAACGGGACCTGATAGTGAAACGGATGGCATCCACGGGCACAATGTTGACTTAGTATTTGAATTTTTGGCACAGAAGTAAAAAAAATATTTAAAATGATAACATACGTGTTGGTTTCATTCTCGTGTTCCATATTTTTTTTTTAACATGTTACGTCTAACCCAAATATCATCTTGGTTTAACTTCGGAAAAAAATCAAGAACGTGTCACTTGATTCAACAAAATGGTGCTAGCTTGAAAATGATGATACAGTTATACAATTTGACATACCAATGCGCAAAGAAGTGACGCAAACTTGACGAAAATTTTGGGTCGTTATTTGCTTTATAATTTGATGTAGTCCTTCCAAGTTGGAAACATTTTCTTCTGGGCCACCCGGTATAGTATCGATGGCTTTATCGATCAAGAAACAATGCCTTATTTGTCATCGCTCGCAAGTTCCAAATCTGATAACTTTGCTTTCCCGCGCAGATTGCTGAATACGCCCGACACGCGGACGTTCATGCGCTCAACAAGCTGTTCATCAACAAGTACCTCGAGTCGCGGCGACACGGAGCCAGCCTGCAGCTCTGTCAGATGCACATCCCGGGCGTCAGCCGCGTTCAGAACGTGTTCACGATCGGCGCGCGCGCTGACGACGCTGACGAGGTGAAGGGCGCGGCGGCCGCTCCGGTGCTGTGAGCGCTCTCCGGGCACGCCGCGCCCCCCTCTCCCGGCGGCCAAACCGGCCGTTAGTCAGGCGTCCCGTCACTCAGCGGTGCCGGTGCACCCGTGTCGGCCCGATTGCCCGCGGCGGCGCCGGTACAGGCGTGCCAACAGTAGAGGGACGGCTGCCCGCGGCCCGTGCCGGCTGGACGCGATGCGACCTGGGTGCACTGCCTTCCGCGCGCCGAGTCTCGCCCAGATGTTCGCATACCAAGTATGCGGGCTTGCCGCCTTGTCAAACTCTCAGGTACCAACTGTTTCTATCTGCCAGACGGTGGTGAATTGTTGCAGCTGACTGGCTGATGTGATTGTACGCTCACATTTTGGTGCATGACGCTCCATTTATTTACCCGATATAGTTGTATAGCTGTATTGCGTTGAAACATGGCTCTGTTTTAGCTAGCCATAACTATTCTGTCACGACAGTGATTTCAAACATGTTCTAGGGCTTGTAATTTTGGAAGCTACGGCGACAAGCCAGCATAACTCAGAGGCTGCCATATTTTTTGTCTCAATTGTGTAAATGTTACAGTTGGCCAGCGAAATCACAAATTTCGCGGAGCCACTATAGTTCGTTTTTTTTTCCAAAGGACGCTGGCTCCAAGTTCATTATCGTAGCTCTCACGTGAGTTTTGGCAGCTTCGGCGTCTGGCTAAGAATTTCTGACCGAAACAAACTTCTGTTTCAACTTTTGCACGGTAAATACCCGGAAATTGTGTCTTGAAAAATTAACATACTGTGATGACGTCACTGGCGGTAGCAGGCACCCAATGTCCGTTCGATGGGACAAAGTGTCGACGAATTTGGGGAAAACTTTGTTTTTCACTGTTGCCGAGGCTATAATCGAATAAGGGGTTCCGTCCATAGTATTTATACGTTACATTGCAATACAAGTTCGACAGCATGACGTCACCACTGTTCTGATATCTAGTCCTAAAACGCACGTGTGGAATTTATCGGGAAGAAATCACATGTTAAAATTAGTCGACGCTCAATTTTCTCAGGTTTAGTGTTTGCCCGCTTTGCTCGCTAAAACACGTGCTTATTCGAAAAACATACTTGGAGCCAGAGTCCTTTTGAAAAAAACGAATTATAGTGAATCTACGCAATCATAGCTAATCAGCAAACTTACAAAGCCACGTGAAGCTGCGGAATCCACAAACTCATACTGGAAAACTCGATGAGCTCGTGGATCTACTAGTGTGTGTGTGGGGGGGGGGGGGCTCCGCGTACTTCATAATCCGCGGACTGTCGATTCTTGTTGTTCAGTGATACCGCGGATTACAGCCTTTAGTCTGTCTTCTTACAGTCTCCTTAGTTGCCAGGGATGGCGGCTATCCAGTAATGTGGTGCATTTTGGCTGCATATAAATTAAAACAGAGAAGCCTAAATTGCATACAAAACGAAAGCATTATATTATAAAATGGTCATCAGGCTCAGTCCTGGTTTCGTTTCGGTGGAGTGATCCCGCTCACTCCCTAGCGCTCTATGAAAGAAATACACCGGCGTCTCCGGCTTCCGGTGCGGGTCCGGACAACACGTGCCTCATATCAGGCGGCTTCGACTGCCACTGCCCGCCTTGAGCTTCGCACATCCCAAACGTGACCAATCCATGTTTGAAAACATGAAGTGAAGTGAGACGATTATTCCAGAGATAATGTCAACCTTGTATACAGCGCGCAAAAATATCTTTTGAACGGTTAATGGGATGGACGATGGCGATTGTTGTCTTTTTCTGAAATTCCGTAGTAGCTCGCATAGTAGCATACCTATATTATACCTACCCGCATAGGTACCGGCGTAATTACATAGTTACCCGCATAGTAACTAGGTACAGGTAGGGGAGAGTGGGGCAAAGCGGCCACCTTAACGCTTCTTACGATGCCATGGGCGCAAAATGACCTTTTAGTTGGCGCGCGCTTAAAGGGACCCTCCCACCTTAAAGGAAAAGGACCACCTTTAACATGGGGATTGAAACTGAGATAGCCATCTTGTAGCCCGTGTCCGAAAACCTACTTGTTTAACCTCTTACGGCCGATTTCGGCCTCCATTCGTAGTTATCGGCAAATTTAAAAGAAAATATGCCAGGAATGCGTCCTTATCCCTGGAATGCGTTCTTATCCGACAATACAGCCACCCGCGGCGAGGCTTTGGTTTTTAACCAATCAGCTTGCAGCAGTACTGATCAGGCACGGATCCCTGTACTAGCGAGCAGACCATGAGCAGTTGCGTTATTTTTCGTTGTCTGTTCTGGCAATCGGCCGGCGGATGAACATCCGCAATCGAATCTTGAAATCCGTCGCGCTGATTGGTGATGAGTTTCATGAGCTACTTTCATGAGGTCTATGAAAGTAAACCTATGCTATGCCCTGAACAGATGACATCTCGTTTGGTAGCCAATTGCTAAAATGTATTTTTATCTTACGCAAGGCAGTATACCATATTTTATACCGTGGAGTTCTATAGCCTTGCCGTGGCTGTTATCCGAAATCGGGGCATTTTTGTTGGAACAAATAGTAAATACCTATAACAACGATGAAGAAGTGCGTGATCCGCGGAGCAAACGACCTACGTCGGGTCGGGACTGATATGCGTGTGACTGTGCACCAGTAAGTAGGTACCTAGGTACCTAAATTCTTATTTATTGCAATGGCTCTTCTATTACTTTTGTTTTCACAGAACTCTCCCCTGGATTAGCAAACCCTTTTGAACTGTTCAGGCTTTCACAACTGAAATGCCAGACTGGATAAAAAAAACACAAGTTATGCCGAATATGTCAGGCGAAGTGGCGTGATTGCGGCGTTGCCCCAAAAATTTCATCGCACATCCAGCATAATTTTGCATGCGTCAAATTCAGCGCATGGTGGCAGCTGAATTTTTAGGCGCAGGGTGACCGCATGGCGCATAATGTTTATGCAAATGGCTGTCACCGAATTTTTTGACACGCTGTGGTCAATCTAGCAGCAGACTTGCCCTGCGGGCGCTGGCAGGTCTGAAGAGAGTCGGAACTTCCAGCCTGGGGCTTGTTTCACCTTAAGATTCTACAGTGTGCCACACATATTGTGGTATTGGGTTTTCATGGGAACATTAATTCAGAGTTCAGACGCTCAGAAAGGGAAGAGCGTCTGACTCTGAGGCCCTGGAACAATCTGTCTGGTTGATATAGCCTTGGTCGGTAGATATGCACATGTGCTTTATGTAAAAGTGACTTAATTTTGGTGCAAACAGGCACCCAACTTTCAGTGGAAATCATGCACTGGAATTTCAGCTCAAAATTGCTTGCTTCAAATTTTGGCGCATGAGGGGCTCGCGGGCGTCCGGCGTAGTGTATGGATGTTTTCCAGTCTGGCTGAAAGGTAGAACTCAGACACATTTATCCAGCCCTTCAAATCCCATTTCCTGGTTGTGGTAACACCTACCTTTCCATGGGGGTTTGGTTCATCTCTTGTCTACACAGTTTTCTTTCACTTATGTGCTGACAAGAAAAGGAAACTCACCAGAGCCCAGTTTCACCAAGTGCAGTAAACTCAATTTGGGGTAAACTATCAAACTACCCCACTACTTAACTACAAAAACTACCCCAAAATTAAGTTTACCGCACTTGGTGAAACTGGGCTCAGTGGAGCTATTCAGCTTAATACACAGAGTATGTGTTGCATGGACTAAGCATGTGTTGACCATTTTTTACTTTTAGGTTCCCGCAAAAAAAAGAAGTACAGAGAAAAGTGGATGAGGGTGTGTGGCATGACCAATGAGCCAAGACCACATGACCACTTAAACTTAACAAGAAGTGCGCACCATGATAAGCACAGTCAAAAACGTTTGCGTCTAAAGAACAGTGCTGTGCCGGATCAGAATGTAAGTTATTTTTTAGAAGTGATGAAAATGCCTGCTATATTGTTTAAAAAAAAATTATCAAAAGACTTTGAATATTGTTTTTTGTAACACTTCACTCTAAAGTTATTCCTAGTACCAGACATTACAGCTTTAGTGCAGTCTTTATTTGTGATATTTTTAGCCAAAAATTATTACTAGTACCGAGCCCTTACAGCTTTACAGCCTTAGTACCTTGCCCTTATTTTTTATATTTTTTAGCCATTTCAACCTAACCGAATATCTGTATGTTTGTATGTTATTGTTTTGATCTATATTTTATGCTACCTCCCTATAGGTAAGTTTTATTAAAACATGTGGTAACGGTGTGCTGATTTTTTACAGATTCCGTATACGCCTTGGGTTGCTGTCGCTGCTCGGTCACCCACAGATGAAAGTGATCAAGAAATGGACATCACTCAGGTAAGATTCAAGCGTCCTTTATTTTACACATAATACACTAACTTAACTTGTTGTGCACTCGGGGGCGGTCAGCCTGTTGTAGGTATGTAGGTAAACCTACATGTGCAGGTATGTGTAGGTATGTAGGTAGGTTAAACCTGTTTATTTCCCTTTTATTTGAATAACTGAAAGGGAGAAACACAATTATACCCACAAAACAAATGACAACTAAATGAGATAAGCCAGACAGATAATACCAGTAAAACACCTTTTGGACGAAGAACGAGCGAGCGAGATAGAGAGGTACTTCCAACGGGCTTGTGCGAAGCACCCTTCTAACCGGTCGCGGGTCGCTAGCGGTGTGCCAAATTTGAACACAATCGGTCCAGCCGTTCCTGAGATCTGGAAGCGGCATTCTGCACGTGCGCACGTGCAAACGGGGTCCATACTGACTTTTGCACGGCACCCTACTAACCGGTCCCCAACCGTGTAGGTACCAAATTTGAACGCAATCGGCCCAGCCGTTCTCGAGATCTGGAAGCGCCCCCCCCTGCACGTGCGCACGTGCAGTAGCACCCTAACCGCAACATATGGGAATGCATTACCTGGTGGGTGCCTACTGCCTACCTGTATGCCAAGTTTCAGCTAAATCGCCCCAGTAATTACAGAGTTATTGAAATGGGAACAAATTCGGCACCTCTTCTTTTTGCATTTTGCACGTGCAGTGGGGGTCACTCACATAGATCAAGAGCATCCGACCTTTGGTTGAAGGGGTGCAGCTACCCTACAAAATTTACCGCAAGACCGCCCAAGCGGCTGCTGAGATATGAGCCTCTCAAAATCACTTCTTTTGCAACTTTTGACAAATAACACCCTTGACTTTTCACGTGGCACGTGCCACGACGGTCCCTGAAATGTATCAAGAGTAGTCAATTACGGGGTAGAGGGAATAGGACTACCCAACAAAAAAAAAAAGACCGCAGGCCAATCGGTCCAGCGGTTGCTGAGATATAAGCCTCTCAAAAGCGTTACAGGCCGTCCCGGGTCGGGCCGCTCATACTGAGCTTTTTCCGTGACATTGAAAAGACTTCGCTTCGCTCGCTCGCTCGTAATTAACAATTCATGGTTGACTCTATATGGATTAAGCTAAGTGATTGCGCTCTATTAGCACACTATCTAAGTAGCCCTTAATTGCTGCCGGTGCGTGGGCTGTGAAAGTGAGCCGAGCTGTGACGCAAACCGTGCGCCTTTTTCAGGTGTGGGATCACTCGTGGAAGTTCACGGCGGATACGGAGCCGTGCATGCAGCTCTGGTTCGATCCTGCTCAGGGAAGCCCCAATGACGCCGTGGCGCGCATCTGGCGGCAGCGGCCCGCTCCTGACCCGGTCGCCCTGTGCCGAGCACAGAGCGCCGACTGATGTCAGTCTTGTGATCGAGCTTCCGCGCCGGAGGTGGAACAGGTGGAGCTGGCGGTCACCTGCGCGGGCACGGCGGCCTGTAAGCCGTGCCGAGACGAACCGCGACTCTTGCTAGATCTGCACCCCATTGTAATCTTCTGTAGTCGATATTCGGTAGGTACTCAATGCTCATTTTTCTGATATTAGACGAGTGGCGTGTTTTGATGTTACATTGGAGACTGCTGTCTCGGGTGGCCCGACAGTGTTCGATTGTGGTGTAATGTAGATACATAGACGGGATGCCGCGGCTCGGATTCGTAGCTGGACTACCATGTGCCTGTCGATTGAGATGCTTTGCCTGGCGATTGAGATGATTCAGGGCGCGGCCCTACACTGACGCCATGGTGCAATGAGTGACTGGCGACAACTAAGCAATTATGTACTTTTGTAGAGCACATGTTTTCATGGATACGAGAGGCAGTCCGTTTTTCGCTAGCAGTCATTTGGTTCACGATACTTTCGATACCGACAAATATGTTCGGGCGGCCGGTCCGTCCACAGCTAATGCGTGCTTGCCCGCCGATGCCTAACGGAGCGCTGTGCTGTCTACGCTCACTGGTCGCTGGCCCGAGAGCCGTTCGGTTGCTGCTGTTATAACAGTTCTCACAAAAACACGCTGGCTGGCTGCCAGTTCTTCACCAATGAGAGGCCC